CGGGCACCGCTCCGAGTGGGCCCCGGCTGCTCGGCGGCGGACGGCGACAAAGGCGGGCCGTGTCGACAGTTTGCCGACACGACCGCGCTACACGCCTTCCCTTCCCCTCCCGGTCGACGCACTGGATCCCGGCTCATCACCATCTGAGCGGCGACCGCGCGCCGGCCGCCGGAGACGAACCCACATGCATCCTCGGCGGCCGGCCTCGTACATCAAAATTAGCAGTTCGATCATTGGGAAGGCGGGCCGGCGCTGGTGGTTGGACGGGTCTCGGCCCGGAGGTCAGGCCAGGTCGACTGCACCCGGCGCCGCCCGCCGAGGAGGCTTCCATCTCTGTCGATGGAAAAGCAGGGCAGTGACCTACGGCCACGAGCTGAACCGAATTCGGACCAGAACAGCGTGACTGAACTGGAACGAGATCCGTAAAACTGCGCCATATCATTTAGGACCAAAGGCTAAAAAAACACTTTGTATTGGATATATCATAGATAAATGAACGATCAATGATCATGATGAAAAATATGAGTGCGTTCCTTGGATTCTTTATTACGTCGGAGCCGATTTACCTACATTAATTATGCTTGGGCGAGTTTCATAGTTTCATGGCAGGGTGATCGACACACTTCCAAGCGTTTGCCGGTCTGTGTTGTCATTGTTATCATTACAAATGATTAATGTACATTGCGTGCAAAGTAGATTGAATTCCTGACGCTGTTGAGCTGTTGCTGATATTGACCGGTCTTTGAGGCAAAGTGATGATACATTTTCCTGGTTTCTGATGTAAATAAGAAACATAAATCGTCGCCTATTACAAATTTGAACCTACCTGGTGATTGAAGCATCGAGTGAGCGTGTCCTTGGCGTTAATAAAGGCTCTACCATGACTTACAAACGTCACTGCCGGACCAGTGACCGCGGACCCAGGGAGCCTGCCCGGTCAACGAGGGCAGTTCATTCACTCGATGACCGGTGAAGCGTCTGAACAAGCATATCGTCCGGGGCACGCCACTCTACTTTCCTCAATTCAACGCATAGTATTGACCCAGCTATCAATCTGTAACAATAGCCCAGATATTTCTTTTGTGTTGAACTACAGCCCATCAATTAAGTGCGGCGCTTTTACTTATACAGTTTAACGTTTGGTCACAATCTGAATAGCATTTCGTAAGCTGACAGAACCTGAAGCTATATGAAACGGAATGTAGGCTGGTACGCATCAGATGCTACTCTATTGAAGCGTCTTGCCTGCATTCACCTTCACAAAGACACCATACGTAGAGGTACTTACTTAAATGTCTTAGGATTTTTTAGCCTGAATACAAACAACGCCAAGTGCATGGTGGGTGCTGAGGTAATTCTTAGTCACTCGCGTGCGAACAAGTGCGATTAGACGTGCGAAATACCTGCACATGTCGCCGGAAGGCTGGCGATATCAACACACGCCAATGTTTGTCACGGATTCTATACCCACACTGCAAGTGAAGGATTGCTCCCTTATTATAACTTTGGATAGCCGGATGGCGGTATTGCCTTGGAAAAATATTAGCGTGATATGTAGAAAGAATATTCTGACTAGCACCTACAGCTGCAATGGGGACAGTTTACTGCACCGTTTTGTTTGTTATACGAGCTATTACTTATCGTACACGGATATCTCTGTAAATTGAACTGTGTCGTGAGACTAGAACACAACTAGGTTTGAAAATTCACCGGCTTATTCAGTCAAAACTTTGCAGGATAGACACCTAAGCTAAATAGGAACATTTGAAATCGCATGTGACAATTCAACAATAGATGTTATAGCATGAGAAAGCCAGACATTGCTCAACATTCAACAATGCTGAAAACTGGTTTTATCCTCATTATTGGTGTTTCTAGGTAGCTATCATCGCCAAAAGACATGCTATGAAAAGACGGAGGCTTGACTGGGTTTCAGATAACGTCCTTAAAAGCGTCTTGTATGCTTCATATAGGCTTCTAAACCGGTACCTTCTCTCTGACAAGGCCGTGAATGCTAAGTTTCCCGTGCCTAACAAAAGACGGGAATCATTCAACAGCGAGGGCATAGGCACACGGAACAGAATTTGAATCTTACTCTGAAAATATGCTCCTTTCTTGCGTTAAAGAGCTTCTTCGTGCTGTCTCTTTGGTATCTTGTGTCAAAAGATCACTATTTCAGCACCCCAGTACATTAGAAGCTAGTTTGGGCATACCTACTGATCAGTTCGGCCACCAAAGTGCGCTGCAGCATCTGAGCCCGAGGGACAGGCCCGGGCGGCGCGAACGGCCACAACACCACAGGGAAGCCTCACGGATGGAGCATATTCACGTGGGATGACGGTGACTGTCCAGCTCAAAATGGGGGGTTTTAAATAGAGAGGAAGATACATATGGTTCATCCTGAGGATTGGTAGGAAGGATCGTAGATGAATGCTTGCAACCGTACCTAAATATTTCATTTTTTCGCAACCTGAATTTGGGATCCTAAAACAGCTGCGCTATTTTTACCATCTTTGCCGCACACTCGAGAACTGTTCTGATGCCATCTGCGTCGGGAAGCTGCCCTGACGGATGCAGCCTGCACCTCACCCTCCTGTGCGGCCCTGAGCCCACTCCTGGGCCATCAGTGAGGGTTATCCATCACACGGGCCGCCGTTTCTTCTGTCGCCACCTCGTGCATTAGCCGCGCTGTCCGGGGCGACCGTCCGCAGCCCGGGCAGGCTCTCTTTGTTCGGCTCCAGTGCAGTTCGTGACCCGGCCCGAGCCGGTATACCACGGGCAAACCACTGTTTGCTCACTGCTGCAATCCGCTTAGTCGCACAGACTGGATCAGCGTCTGGCGTAGCACGCTTCATAACCGCAACAGGACTGGATTTCGGCGGTGTGACGACGGCGTTTCGGCGGCGCTGCGGCGTGCACTTCCGGGGCTCGCGTGTCGCCAAATGCGGGCTCCGTATGCCACCGCCGGCGGAGTCGGATTCTCGTCACATCCAATCACGGACTGCGGGTCGGAGGGCGGCGCATCACAGGTCGTTAGCGCAGCATTGTGGCCGCCCTGGAGACCCGTCGGAGCCGCTGTCCGCCGCCCGACCGACTGCCGGCAGCGCCACAGGCCGTAACTCGCCGCAGCCTACACAGCTAATGACCCCGCTGTTACATGGCTCGTAAAGCCGAATAAACGACAGTGGGTGTCGCCCGGTCCGCCCGGCCGCCGAGCCGCCGAGCCGCCGGGCGGACCGTCCATTCAGCTCGCCGCGCGGCGGGTCGCCTGACACCGGCGCTTCGACAGCCGCCTACCTGTCACAACAGGCGACGCGGCGCGCCGCACAACACTGTGACAGACGACAAAAACGACGCGGCGCGGCATGGAGCGTCGCGACGCCCGCCGGCCTCCCGCGGGCCGCCGCGTCGGCTCGGCCCAAAAACCCAGATGGTGCGATTACACCATTAGGAGGATGTAGCCGGCCACTCGAATCTGAATCAGCGGCTAATTGAAGTTCTCTGTCTCGTGCCATCGGTGGGTGAGGTGCGCCGGCGGCGCGGATCCGTCTGAGAGGCGGCTCAGGCGGCTCGGCGCCGGGCGGCACTGCTCGTGACACCGGCTGGGAGCCATTACACGGGCGACCCGACGCGACCGGCCGGCAGGGCTGCATGGGGAATTTGAATGCGGCGGCCGCGCGCTAAGCCACTGACACTGCGAGCGGGCCTCCCGCGCGGCGCAGTGGCACTTCCTCCTGTGGTCGGACCGGTGACGCGATCTCTAATGAGCGCAGTCACCATCATCCCCCGGACACTAATGACTGACAAGTGGCCTGTTGTGGCCCAAGAGCTTAATTGGTGCTGATTTATAACGCAGTCATGCAGCAGCGATGTTACCATTATTTCCGAACAAGTCTGACAGATTCGCTCCTTGGGTAATGACGGGTTACAGTGCATTTTAAAATAGGGTGATTAAACCCTGCTACAGCCGTCAATCACAGTCCAATATCTTGTCAGTAAACGGCCACTCCTGTTCAATTAGACAATGCTAAGTAGCCATTTGATCAAACACAGTGCAAGCGCTGAAGGCACTGGCCGATGCCTCACACTGACGCTCATTCCATTAGTTTTCACGACTCAGCTCTGGACTTTCGATCCCGTTCCCTCACGAACTCCGATAGCGGGTCGATCCTATCTGCGCCAGTGTCCCAGTGGGCACCTGTTGTCCCTTTCTGTCACCGTCTGGGACGTCGGCGCCGCTATCTGCCGAGACATCTCCATCCCCGCCATTCTCCGGGCCAATTCCCATTCTCTCCGCTCGACGCTTCGTTCGGCACCAGTCGACTCGGCTCGCGTTAGTTGATCCTTTGACTGAAGCCGACGCCGGTGTCTGTCACGAGACGTAGTCAGGCTTCTCTAGCTAGCTAGTCCCGTCCGAACGGTTCCATACCCAGCGAAATTACCCCGTCCCTGCTCTGTCAGGCACGCACACCAGGCCGTTCTAATTAAGAGTGACAGACCCAGACCCCGCAGTGATATGCACTGGCAAGGCGAGAGCCTAGTGAGAGAGAGGTGAGCGAAGTGGGAGAGAGAGGTGAGCGCGGTGAGAGCGGTTGCGGAACGTCCGGGCGCGCGCCGCCGGCACTGCAGGGCACGGGCGGAGCTCAACTAAAGGCGGAGTTGGTAGCCGCCCGGGGTCCTCAGTGGCTGCCGGTGGCCGGCTACCGGCCGCGCCGCGCCTCTTACCCAACTCCCACACGGGGCGCTAACTAGCCGCACACAATTACACCACACAACGAACAGCTGGAACCCCGGGCAAACAGTGTGAATTGAAAGCCAGTGCTGTGCGGTTGACATGAAAGCCTCTCGAGCTAAATGCCATAATGACGGCACCCTCCGTGATCCAGCCGGCCATGAATAAGCATTTCAACACATTCTTTTCCTGGGCAATTAGCCTCCCAGCACGCTGCCGGGCCGGCGGCCGCCGTGCAGCGACGGCCGGCAATCTAATCCAGTCGTGATGAGTGCTGAAGCCGCTAGCAACGGCCGTCCGTTTATTTATATAATACGCTCATAAATATCGGACTCATTTTGCGATCACAGTCATTTGCATAAAACTATAAGCCATAAATTGCGAGCGGTCGGGGCGCTCACGGAAACAAAGAGGCGTCGGCCCGCGGCGGCCAAGCGGACGGGTGCGGCCGCCGCGCCGCTCGGTAGCCGCCGCCCCTCCGCCCAGCCAGCAGCCGCACACAGACATATATCACAGCGGCGCCGCGCCGGGACACACACACTCACACACTGCCGAAACAACAACATCGCCTACACAAGGCTAGGGGAGAAATGGCAGTCACATAACTCGGGGATCTGGGAACAACAAATTATATGGAGAAGGCACATAACGAGAAATTGTCAGATACTATAGATAGTTGCTTTCAGTTGAATCACACATTGAGTAAAGCATGAACACTAAACAGTTTCACTGGACGGATGATAGATACCTAAAAACGGCACGAACAACGCAAACACAGCGAATCACCGACACACCCTGCCATGCCTCTGAAGTACGGGCTCTGCACGTCCCACCACAGCGCGAGGAGCGCTCCCTGACTAGCCGGGCACACCCCCCGATGGGCGGTACCTCAGATATGTACCGCCATCGGGTACTCGTACTCGGGAGGCTCCTCCCGCTGCGCGCGCCGCACGTCCGGAAGCTCGAATTTCAGTTTCTCCCAGAATAGTGTGTCACCCCAGTGCAGCACAGGACTCGTCTTTAGGTAGAGTCTCAGGTCGGGGTCGAGTTCTCTGGTCGGCACGGCGCCGACTATTATCACAATCAGACGACCCTGACGTCCGCTGAGCGCCTGGTGCAGCGCCGACTTCACCTCGCAGCGCGACCACTCGGCGCGCACAAAGTGGTCCGACAGCACCACCACCGTGCGACGGCTCGACTCGATCGCGTGCACGATCGTGTCGGCCACGTAGGCGCGCACGGCCAGGTCGCGGTGGTGCAGACACAGCCGGAAGCTGGGCTCGTCCGTCTCCAGCGCGCGCGCCAGCACGTCCACCACAAACGGCTCGTCCTTGGCACTGTAGCTGACGAACGCGTCGAACAGCTTGTCACTCTCCGCCTCCGCGCGCCCGCCCGTGAACATGCGCACGCCGTACTTGGCATAAGCGAGCACACGCATCTCGTGCCAGAAGATGTACACCACGACGGCGACTACCACGGCGACCAGCGCGAGCACCGAGACGGCGGCGATGAACGCGTAGTCGCCCGCCGAGCGCCGCTGGTACACCTGTGTCGCGATCGTGTTGTTGATGAAGTGACACGCCGTTGCGTTGTGACCTAAAATCGCGCGCGGCACCGCGGTGCTCGTCTCGTTCGGAAAGCACGTCAGCGTCTCGGGCTCCACCACTGCACTTTTAGTCGCCTCCAACCACTCGCGGAACGTCTCGAGGAAATCGCACGCGCACGTCCACTGGTTCGCCGATACGTTCACCGACACTAGGTGCGCGTGGCGGGTGAGCTGCAGCGGCGCAAAGCGCACCAGTCGGTTCCCGTCGAGCCGCAGAACCTGCAGCGAGACGAGCGGCGTGAACGTGCGGTTGTCGATGGAGGCGATGACGTTGTCGTGAAGGTAGAGCTCGCGGAGCAGCAGCAGTGTGTCGAACTCGAATCCGTGCAGGCGCGCCAGGTCGTTGCGCTCAAGGTGCAGGACCTGCAGGCTGGTGAGCCCGTTGAAGGTGCGGTTGGTGACGGTGCGCACTCGGCTGTCGTTGAGGTACAACACGAGCAGGTGCTGGCGCCCGATGAAGGCGTGGCTGGAGAGGCGCGGCAGGTGGTTTCCGTCCAGGTACAGCTCGGTGGCGTCCATGGGGATGTGCTCGGGCAGCGTCTGATGGCCAGCCGCCGTGCAGTCGACGATGTTCCCCGACCAGTCGGCGGTGTGGTAGCAGGTGCAGTTGGTCGGACACGTCATCTCGCAGTCGCACGCGTCAAACTGGCAGCACTGACACAGTGTGGCACAGTGACTGGTGTAGGCGCACAGGAACTGAGAGCGCGGCACCTCCACCAGTGGCATGTAGTCGCGCTGCACGTTGAACGCCAGCCGGCAGAACAGGCTCTCCAGGTCCATGAGACGCGGGTACTGAGACGAGTCGTTGTTCGAGTTCAGCTCGCCGAGCCACTGCAGCCGACAGTCGCATGTCACAGGATTCCCGCCGACGTAAAACTCTGGCCGCAGTCGGTCCGTAGCGAGGTTCAGACGGAAGGCGTTGATGTCGATGGTGCTGATCTGGTTGGCGAACAAGTCGACCCGTGAGATGTTGTGCTTCCGGAAGAAGGTGTAGGGATACACCTGGGTGATAGCGTTATCGTGCGCAATCAGTGTCTCCAGCATGTCGGGGAGCTGAAACGGACTCAGCGTCGTGATTCGGTTGAAGCTGACGTCCAACGTCTTCAGCCGGAGGTCCTTTTCCAGCTCATGCGCATTTTCTAGCTCGGTGAGCGCGTTTCCATGGAGATCGAGCCACTCGAGACCACGTGGAATGTCAGCGTAGTCAAACGTAGTCAGTCGGTTGTTGGAGGCGTTCAGCCACTTCAGACTGTCCAGACCGGTGAGAGCGCCACGGAGCGACGTTAGCTGGTTACTATCCAGCCGCAGCATCTGCAGATTACTCAGATTATCGAACACGCCCGAAGGAAGCGAGTTGAGCTCGTTCCGTGCCAGATTGAGCGCTCGAAGCTTGGTGAGGTTACCGAAGTGGACGTCAGACAGGTCGCTGATTTGATTTCCCTCCATCTGGAGCGCAAACAGCTCGGGCAGAACAGACAGAGACGCGTTGTCGACGCTCTCGATTAGGTTCCCACCGATGTCGAGCGACTTGAGCGAGCCGAGACGACCCAGCGCCGGCGGTACTCGCTCCAGTCGATTGTCAGCTAGGTCCAGCGTCCGCAGCCGAGGCGCCGCCGCCAGTACATCGTCGTCGATCTCCACCAGACGGTTGCCTCGGAGCGAGAGACTGGTCAGCGACTCCAGGCCGTCCAGCGCGCCGACCGGCAGCCGCGCCAGCCGGTTCTGCGACAGACCCAGCTCTGTGAGCGCGCCGAGCTGCGCGAATGCGCCAGAAGGCAGCGTCTCCAGCGCGTTCGAGTCGAGGTCGAGCACGCGTAAATTCTGCATCGACTCAAACATGGCGGCGTCGACGCGCGAGACGTTGTTGTACGCGAGCCGCAGCAGGACAAGACCGGGCAGCTCGGCGAGAGTGTCCGAGTTGACCCAGTCGTCCGACAGCCGGTTGTGTGACAGGTCCAGCACCAGCAGCCGCTCGAGGCCGGCGAACACGCCGGGCGCCATCACACGCAGACGGTTGTGCTGCAGATGAATCTCGGTGAGCGCCGCGGCGCCGCGGAACGCCTCCGGTGGCAGCGCCGACAGCCGGTTGGACGAGACGTTGAGCACCTGGAGCGCCGGCAGCACCCGCAGCAGTCCGTCACCCAGCTCGGAGAGCTCGTTTCGGTCCAGCAGGAGCCGCGTCAGCCGCGGCAGGCCGGGGAAGTGGCCGGCGTGCAGCGACACCAGCTGGTTGCCGGAGACGTCCAGCTCCCGCACCGGCAGCGGGCACGGCGCGCCGCCGGCCGTCGACAGCGAGATGTTGGTCAGGTCGCCCAGACGGTTGTTGGTGAGGTTCAGCGTCAGCAGCTGCGCCAGCGGACAGAAGATGCCGGCCGGCAGCGACCAGAAGTTGTTCCCTCCGAGGTCGAGCAGCTCCAGCCGCGTCATGGCGCGGAACGTGTCCGGGTACAGGCGCAGCGTGGCCGCCGTCGACCACTCGACGCCGTTTGTGCGAAACGTCAGGTTCTTCAGCTTGTGGAGTCCGTCCAGCGAGGCGCGCGACAGCTCCGGGATCAGGCACTGCTCGATCCGCAGCTCCTGCAAAAGATGGCGGCCGTCAGCGTCCGTCGGCGCCCGGCTCGGACGTTCCGCCGACGCGGTGCGAGATGAGATCTGCCCGTCGGGTCGTGCCGACCGGCCCGTTCACACAATGCTAATGGGATGCGGGGCCGGCGCCGGGCGCCCGGTCGGCACCGTTTGAATGTCGCCTCATTTGGAGGTGCCCGGGCCGACGAAGCGCCGCCGCCGGGGCGATGACAGCGATTAGAGGCCGCTCATCGCCCTGGAATGTTATCCGTGTGGTTTAGAGACCATGTAGCGGAATGGCCAACATGTATTTTATGACAACGGTGATGAAATTAGAATAAAGCTGTGTTCGTGGAGATAAGATAACATCTCTATCTTCAGCCAACTTGCAACCATCTAGCATTTTTTACATAAAAAGCATTAATTAAGTATGCATAGCTCTTATTACTGAATAACTGAGCTCAGTATTCTCATTTTGACGAGCTCAAGGTGACTTAAAAATATGACATGATTCTGTAACTTGAATGAGTTTTTGGTAACAAATGCCTCATTTTTTACTGATAGGGCTCGTCACTTTTGCAAAAGAGTTCGTGTTTCGAGAGGTGCAATTATCTTTTCAAAAAATTTAACAAACCCTGTGAAACTGACTATTGGCCTAAGCTACTTGGAAAGCCCAGCTCGCACAGCCTTTCATACGAGTAGTTAGTTGACGTAATGCATGATAAGGGAAATCGCTCGCTCACTCGTATGCAAAAATGTTGTTAAATCTTATGTTCGTGTGATTACTGAGTGTCGCAAATAAACATTTACAGCTTCAGTGCATTCAGGCACATATAAAAGCTTCGTCATCCAGTGCTGCGTGTAATTCCTTCCATCACGACCTTGTCTGAGTAAAAGGTCGCCAGTGCCCATTTACTATTTTACATGTGCGGTGATGTGCAGTCATGCAAGTTCCAGATAGCATGAACAGCGTCTGGTGTGTAAAAGTTCCTCGCGTTTTGGGTATTGAACTTCATCGCTTTCTTTTGTCCCATTTGTGTCTGCATGGTTTTGGCATGGCTTCATCCCTCACATATCGGCGGTATTTATTTATTTTTTGTCTTCACATTTTGTTTGCGTATTTTTCATCTATCTATTCAGTTACTATAATACAGCAGGTTATACATACAGCAGGTTTCCTAGTAGCCCGTCTACAGCACAGGTCTCAGGTGGGGCTAAAGGACGTCTCCCAGTCGCGCCGCCGCTTTCAATCGTCCTTCGGCCGCTTTTGAAGCTACTTTTGAAGCCATTGCACATCCCTCGTCTCTCTTTGTCACTATCTCTCTAGTTCTTTGTCCCTTTTCGTCCCGTTCATCCATTCGCGTGCCTTGTTCTTCCCATCTTTCTTATCCTCATAACGTCCACCATTGCCCAAAGTGCGCCCTTCGTCCCTCCTACATTCCTCATCCCCGCTTATTTTATCATCCCTCACCCCTTCGTCGTCTCTCACAAGGAGTCCCTCACCACCTCTGAGCACTCACCTCCAGATGCGGGAAGAGGCGGAACGCGCCGGGCAGCAGCGGTCCGTGCGGCAGGCCGGTCTCCACGCAGACCAGGTGGAGGCCACGCACGGTCTCATGGCTCTGCAGCCGCAGCGGCGCCGGGTCCAGCTCGGCCGACAGACTGTCCACCCGGCAGCGCACCAACAGCCGCTGATCGTGGGGCACCCACTCCCGGCGGCACTGCGTCAGCGCGGCGGCCGGCGCGGCCAGCAGCACCAGCACCAGCACCAGCGGCGGCACCAGCGGCGGCACCAGCGGCCGGAGGGGCGCCGGCGCCGGCCGAGCCGCCGCGGACAGCCGCGGAGGAGGCGGTGGAGGGGGTACCGGAGGTGTCTGGCAGACCGACAGCCCCGGAGCGACTCGCCTGGGGAAGAAGGGACAATCAAGTCACCAGACTGAATAACATCACCCTGCAGTGCAGTGCCATTGCATGCAACGAAACCGAGGCGAGACTCAAATAAACGGCTTGGGTACCTATACTAAATTCACAAGTCGCTGACATATTTGCAATCCCATGACACACAAATAAAACACAGAGCGATGCACGAATGTCCAAAACGCTGCACTAGTGCGGTTTATTAGGTGGGAGTTTTTACGGTGACGGCCGGTCAGTCAGGACCGGGACCGGTGGGTGCGGCTGACATCCTCTGACAAGAAGCCCTCGGACCGGTGCGGCGGCGAACAGCCGGTTTTTAGCCGGCTCATAGCGAGGTGTTAACGGCCGGGCACACGGCATACCGAGCGTCCCAGGTCCGAGTATGTCCTCGAGCCTCCTGTACCAGCACACCGAGTCTACAGAGCTGATCGATAGCCGCAATCAACACCCATCATATTACAGGAATTAAACGGATCAAATTCGCAAAGAACGGAAACGTGATGCTGAGTTAAGCCAGCGATTAATCTTTACAGGCTTGCAGGGACCACATTTGTCTCTATCAGGGAATTTGCCGAGCCGCGATTTTTGCACGTTTGCAATCTGCGGTCGGTGGTAGTCAATGGATCACACAGTCGCTTTAGATGTGAGAACGGCCCTTTAGTGGAGACTGCTCAGCAGGCAGAGCGCTCTTATCGCAATCATTAGTGAAAAACAAAGCTTGTTAATAGCTATCTGGATCTTCATTACATTAGCCGCGGTGCTTCTCTCAGCCAATTAATTAACTGTTTTGCACGCAATGTTCGCTGTTTATCTTGAGTCGCTCCCGCCGAAAAACTGGCGCGCTTTGTATGTCTTGATTTAACCGGTCTTTACTGTATGTAATTAACGTCGATAACATCCCAGTCTCGCCTGCACGTGCAAGCCTCAGCACGGCGCCAGCACGACATAAAGATAATTTCAAAAGCGTCGTTGGCTATTTTGAGCGTTTTACGTAAGTTGTGACTGCTTGGAGGCAATGACTAATGGAATGAGTCCACATGTTCTTGTGCGAAGAAAATAAGCGCAGTCAACCGCTTTTATTGCTTGTCATAACGTCATTTCATGCCTAGTTTTAAGTTCTTATGGGTTTAAAAAGATAACCAGATGCATTTCAGCTCCCTGCACACTTCGCAACGAGGGCTACTTGCTGGCCACCGTGGACCGTTGACGAGCGAGCGATCAGAGGGGCATGGTCAGTCGGTTCCCCATTATTCCATCAAATACCGCTCGAAACACCTTCAGATCTGTCTCTCCCGCTCACCACATGGCCGACGCGTTCTGCCCTCCTTATCGCCTTATCCTTATTCATTTGGCCTTATCTCCGACTACATGGGCGCCATATCAGCGCTGACCGACCTGATGACTCTTCGCACACCTGGCGGGCGGCGCAGCCACATACAGAGGTGCTTGGGAAGGAAGCCTCAGAAGACTGGCCAGGATGCTGGTAGTATAGGAAGGAGAGGGCTTCAGAAGACCGACTCGGGTGACGTTGGTAGAGAGGAGGCTTCGGAAGGCCGAACAGGGGCACTGAGAAAAATATTGAAAATGCGAGGCAACTCGGAACGGACATGCCTTTCCCTCATTTGTCATCTCAGAATTCCTCGCGGAGTCTTCTTAGCATCCCAGTGTGCAGAACCCGCATAGCATTCCAATTTGGGTTCCGCCGGCCGGCAAGCCGGGAGGGGGAGATGGGGGAGAAGGGGGAGACGGAAAGCGTGTTTGTTTACCATGCATCAGATATAATGCCGGCTGTATTCCCGGTATTCGATGGTATCGACCCGACGGCAGCCAGATATTAAATCTAAGAAACTGGTTCCGCCGGCGGTGGAGCGCGGCGTCGCATCCTGTTTCTGAGTTATGGCCGCGGCCCGAAACCAGTCAGTCACCGCGATCGGCCAGGTGCCGCTCCCTATGTCGCCGGCTCGGCGCGTTATTGGTGCCAGTTAAACCCTAAATGGACGTGCATTACCGACTCGGGAGGTGCAGTGATTGATTCAAACTCTGCACTGGGGTTATATAACGGATGGGTTTGATGGATTTGTAAAAATGGCCCGGTATAAGCGGCTTCCTGACAATCTTTGATGTGATCAATAAGATATCTGCTCAAGCTCAGTCATATGCTAATAATGTGCCCCAGGCCGGCGGCTTAGCTCGCCCACTGTCAAGTGCAAAATGAAAGCTTTTGTTACGTAGCATATGGACGAAAAGCCCAGCAAATTTCAACTTCTGGATAAGCTACCTTTGGCATCATCGAGCTCTTACACCAGGGCCCCATTTCAGCGCATGACGCTACCAGAAGCCACCGGATGGAGCTCAGATTCCATAGAAACGGAATCAAAATTGCCATTTCTTTTGCTTACGTTTCCATAGAAACCGAGCGCCAATTACGGTAGTATCAGGTAGCGTCGTGCGCTGAAACAGGGCTCTGATCACCCCGCCTCCCCGGCAGGCGAGCTGCAGGTAACTCCTCAGCACTCTGCCACTTTGACATGTGAGTTGTAACTCCTCAGACGTCCAACTCCCTGTCACCTCCGGGAGAGTGGAGTGCCGTGCCGTATACCGTCTATGTGCCCCCGGGCGGGGCGCCATTGTTATCCAGAACTGTGCCACTCCGGTGGCCAGCGAAAGCTGTAATCCCACCCGAAATTCAGAGCATGGAGGCCATGGAGCCCTCAGCGAGGTCTAAACAGAAGGTATATGGGCGATTTTCATTCCACGATCATTGAAACGCAGCTCGACGGAAATCGAGCTGTCATAAATTCGATTTAACAGTTCGATTTCTAAGCTATTTGATCACAAATTATGCAAGGCTAGAATGGAGTCTATGGCAGGAGCTTGGCAGGAGCTAAATTGGGCGTCATGTTTAACATTTCCCTCAAGTAAGCTTAACAAAAATAGTGCATCAGTAGCCTTACATTCTTTATGAATATTTAACCTTTAGAAGCAAAAATAGCCAAAATGCCGCTGACCATTATCTTGCACGGATAAGCTAATATAAAAAGTTCGCAGCATGCAGCGTCACTAAAATGCCGTCAAAGTCAGGTTTGAGCTAAGTCTCCCTCATACCGTGTTCGGTTCCTGAGGTTAGCAGTTCAGCAGTCGATAGCTTCTACCTGAGTTCGCCTCCCCCTCCCCAGGGCCCCCTCTAACTGCACAGCAGACAACATTGATGTGTTCAAGAGAAATCCAGTATATTCGCACGAGTGTTTGCACGCAACAGTTGACAAAGAGACGGCGCCATTGGCCGGTGAGTGACGCTATCACGGCCTGTCAGCGGCGTATGTGAGTTCAATTAATACATGTTCAATTCTGTCGGCCATATCGGGAGTGGCAGCTGACACATTTTTGTCGTTTCACAAAGATCGCACAATGGAAGGCATTCTGACAGTTGAGAGCATGAGGGATTGTATAGCGTCCATGTGCCACTACTTCGGCAAACCTTGAGGCTCGAGAACGCTGCCTTTTTTGTTGTTTACCAGTTGTGATATAGCCAGCATGACAATGGGTTATATTGCCGACAATCAATCTGAAAACTTTATACACTATGCCATAAAACATGACTTCAGGAATCAGATCAGCCAAAATACTGAAATATATAACTTACAACGGAGCGACTGCAAATTTGTCACGTCCGTTGCCAAGCCACATACTGGGCTTTTTACTTTAGTATCACACCAGCAGCGTCCCTCATTAGTACAGATGCATACATCCAAGATATCAGCGTTATCGTGACGTTATCAATGGCGCATGTCAGCTCGCGCTGAGGGTGCACCAGCAACTTGAGGGAATCCAAAGCATTTAATACGAGCTATTAAATCAAACACACTTGTCACATACTCCCTAAAATTTTCAACCCCGTAGGTGAACGGACGCCATCGCGGTCGGCGTTACAAAACACCGACAAGCACGGTGCACCACCGTTGATCCTACCAAACGCCGCTTTAAAGTTAACCCTCGCCGGACCTATTGATTTTTTTACATACGCGCCGCGCCGGCCGAGGGGGGGGGGCGGGTACGAACCCCCTCGCCGTTTCGCCCCTGGTGGAGCTAGCGCGTCGCGGAAAAAACGAGCGTGTGCGCCGTTATAAGACACAGAGATTGGTACCCGATTTTAAGGTCCTAGGTCAACCGGTGACCTCTGAGGTCAGGTCACGTGCCCCAAGGTACGGTTCAGTTTTTGGTGAATAACTTTCCAAAAAACGGCCGCAGAGCGCCGATTTTAGCAACATCGTGTTCGCCTTGTTCAGGCGCGTCGAATGATATACTTTTTGTTCGGGTCAGGTCAACTTAGGGTGTTGAACTCAGGTCAAGATCAGCGCCCCCAGGTCACGAAGTTGGTCGAAAGAGGTCATGTCGCATATCATTCGATTCGGCATGTCTTCCTGAGTCCATTGGTGGCTTTTCCGACTCGCTAGCTTAATTTGATCGGGAGTTATTGACGAAAAGCTAATATGAACTTGATGACGTCATAAATGACGTCACGCAAGGTCAACATTGCAAAAGTGACGCATCTAACCTTGCAAGGAGTGCATCAACTCACGATTCTGTGTGCTTGAGATAGTTGGAGATCGTTCCCGGCGCCAGAATAGCAGTTTTCATTTTTCCCCATTGACTTATAATGGTGAGGTCACGAAAATGACCTGACTTCATATGACCTTTAGGAAAAATCCGAGATATACAAGTTGTGAGACTCGTAATGGATACTAGATCCTGCAATTTTTTATTTCCCTGTGAAAGCTTCTCTGGCAGTGAGGGCGTTGCGAAGTTGCGACATCTGAAGACCGTGCATAGGCTCACTTATGACGTCATAGGTTAGTGACCTGACCTGACCCGAAAATGCGGTTGGTGTCAAAAGATCCGGCTTGAATCTATGCCAAGTTTCAGCCCTCTATCGCCAGCGTGTTCGGAGCTATCGCGAAAAAAAACCTATGGGGGGGAGGGGCGGCACCCGCCCCCCCCCCCCCACCCCCTCTCAGCCGGCGATGGTTAACGTTTTCGATGCTCCCATATTCTTCCATTGTTTTTCGGTACCATAAAGCACTATCCAACTAAAATTTCTGGTCGTATTAAATGCAATGAGTGACAGTTGACTGTCGCCGCGCAGCCTCGCTGGTTTGATCCAAAAGTCACGCTCTGTTTCACGAGTTAATCTCGGTCTCAGTATCGTCCTCTTCATGCGTGTCTGATTTCAGGACCGAGGAGCGACACTGAACCGATACTCATTTGAACCACTGAATCGATACCATCACAGGCTTCACAGTTCTTTGTAATTGAGTCATTGACCATATCAAGGACTCCCCGCCATGGTTACAGCTCAGGTCATTCGGTTCACACCACATCAATGCCCTGAATTACAACTGCTCCTGTCCCCCCTCTCTCCTCCCTCTCCCTCTCTCTCTCCCTCTCTCTCTCTCTCTCTCTCTCTCTCTCTCTCCCTACCTCTCCTTCCTCTATCTGTTCTATCTCTCCATCCCTGTCTCTCCTTCTCTCTCTTTTACCACAGCGTGCCACACGTCACATTTGGCGACAACAAGAGCCCGGCATGCGATTTGTAGCCTCTTATGTCACCTCAGAGTTTATTGCCCGGGCGTGTGACGGTGTCAGCCCTCGCGGACAGTGTCAGACCGGAGTGCTGGCCTCCCGCCGACCTATGATATGTGTCACCGGCCGCAGGATCACTGCAGAGTGCAGAGGCAGACCGCTACGTGCAGTCATTGTACCGATCTACCCGGCAGAGGTTAGCGATCTCATATATCCTGCTTACGAAAATCGGCGACCGAAACCGCGACACTCAGCCTGCGGATGACGTTGAAAATGCCGCCTAGTTCGGATATAGACCGCAACTACTGCGATTTATCATGGAACTAATTGTGGTGTAAAAGGCATAACAAGGTGTTAATATAATCAGGCTTTGAGAATTTTCCTTGCATTTTATCACGAACAAAACATGTTAGCTCTTTCTTTCCTCTTATCCATATTTTCACGAGTACCCACCTACCTACCGACGTTGTTTTCATGACGTAATTATTTCATGAAAGTACAATCATCAGACAAGTGGGACAGGCGTCGCCTGCGTCACTGAGCCGGCGAAAAGAACTCTCCCTAGGCACGCAACGCCATCCACTCTTCTGTGAGCTCCGGACGGGGACCCTACACGAAGGCTCCATCTTGCATGAGATCCGGCCAAGCAGTGTCGCAAACTGATCGTACCGGCGTCACAGCGTCCCCCGCCTGATCCATACGGGGAGTGAGTCCTGTGCAGATGGTGGTAGTTTATGCATGGAGTGGTGAGCCTCATGCGAAAAGTGTCAACTGAACTCGATGTTGATGTAGGAAGTGAGCTCAGTGTATGTAAGGAGTGAGTTTGTACGGTGAGCTCACACGTGGAGAAGGAAATCCATGCGTGGGGACTGAATAAGCTCCACAAGGGGAGTGAGTTTCAAGCAGAGTGAGTGAGTACACTCAGTGATAAACACCGAGAGCGAGCTGCAGTCTGCACTCTGCACTGCTGCTCTTCGAACTCCGCAACGTGGCGTGAGAGGCGCCATGAACTGCGCCGCTCGCCGACCGGCCCGGCCCGGACGGGCTCTCCCTCCGATCAGATGTGGGCCGGCCGTACCTGCCGACGGCTGCACTCCACTCCACTCCACTCCACTCCACTCCACTCCACTCCACTCGCGGGCCGGCAGAGCTGCAAACTCCACTCCCGGGCCGGCAGAGCTGCAAACTCAACTCCCCAGACCGGCAGAGCGGCAAACTCCACTCCGGCAGAGCTGCAAACTCCGCACCCCGCCGCTCGAGAGGAGCGCCAAGGCCAGGTCCAAGCGGCCGCGCCAGCCGCGCCGCTGCGCTGGAGGGGGACACTGTGGGGACTGGAGGGAGGCGAGAGGAGACGGGAGACCCTCCATCGAGCGAAACTCGGGCCCGGCCGCGCCAGGTCAGTCGGCTGTTTGGCATCGTTACGACTTTACAGTCCGGCCGGGCCGGTTTAACGACCGCCGGCGGCACTTACGGGCTGGGTGGCTGTCGGCTCTGCTCCGGCTCCGGATCGCAGTCTGTCCGCGGATCCAGGCGGGGATCCAGGCGCGGATCCGGAGCGGTGTCCGGACACGTCATGGCGGCCGCGCTACGGGCCGCTCGCACACCTCATCGGCTCCGGTGAGCGGCGCACATCACAGTCGCGTCACTGGCGGGGACGGACGGACGAACACTGGGAGCGGCGCGCACTGCTCGGCGGCCGCAGCTCGACTGGCCGGACTGGCCGGGCGGGCGGCGGCGGCGGCGGCGGCGGACCTGGAGGCGGGCGGAGCGGGTGCTCGAGCCTCCAACGACGGGCGGAGGGTCGTCAGCACGCTCTAACCGGCCCCGCGCTGGATGCCGAGGGAGGGTCCGACGGAGCGCAGAGGCTCCGTCCGGACTGCGGCAGGAAGCCACTGAGATTGACTCAATGTAAGGAAGTGTCACTAATTTGAAGATTCGGTAGCTGTATCACGTCAAATTTCAACAATGATAGATTATGCTAGTTCAACTGCAATGAAAAAAGAAAATGCTGTGCGTATTGAAGTATGATCTCCAAACCCAATGTGCTATTTGTAATGAGATTCCCCTGTGCACGGAAGCGCGGTACGCGGGCTCACATGAATAACTGCGATGCTGCAGAGGACAACAGCTGAATGACTGCGACGCTGCATTAGAAAACAACTGAGTGACTGCGACGGGAAACAAATAGCAGCCTCAGAAACCTCATCGTGGCAGTACACAGCATCACCACGGCTCGTACCGTCAATAAATGTATAACGATCCGTCTCGCCTGTCATCCCAGTCACGAGGATTCCGAACTCATCAACATTTTAGTGTGCATCGGACGACTTGAAGAGCTCGACTCTGTCACGAGTTTGTCGTAAAGACGCCCGTTTGGTCTGGCCTGTTTGGAAAACGCAGTCAGCAGTCCCTCTTCAATAGCAGTTGATTTATAACCTGAAATACGTTTACACTCACTTTGAGAACCCCAAGCATGATCTGCTTATCCAGCACCTGGTGGTGACAGCGCTTATTTCTGATGTTTGCTTTACAAGCTCAGCTGTTGCATGCAGCTCCAGAGAATAACACCGTCCGGAGTTTTAGATAAGACGTGTCCTACATCGTCTCTGCATTCCACTGAGAGCCTAATCTCGCCTGTGCAGAGAGTTTTCTGGTCCTGGCGGCGGTATATCGTGTCGACTGATGTCATCGCATGAGCGCTGAGCCCGGAAACTGTCGGCGGCCCGGCCGGCCGGTTGGAGGGACCCGTCACCCCGTGTTAGAGCTCTGCTGAGATGAGCGGCGGTGTCATCGTGCAAAGTGAAGGCCATCAAACAGACAGCGGCTAATCCGAGTCTCTGCAGTCTGACGAAAAAGGCGTAATTGTTATGAGACCGCTCACAAGCGTCATTGTTTCAGACAAAGGCCAACAGGCATTGCAGCACAACTGGGCTGGCTGCAAATGTACCGATAATTCTTTATTTATTATATTTTGACTTCAAAGTTTAGAACAATGTCGTTGATATTGATATGCATTTTTATTGCATTGTGCCAAGGTCTATATCATTTACATCATGTTGTTGATAAAAGGGCTAATTATGCACTTATCCTACTCAGCTGAAAACCGTCAATAAACCACTTCAGCCATTCACTGCTCTCCGGTAAATGTATTCTACTACATAATGGAACTATCACAGCCTTTTAGCGGCTGTCACACAAAATTAGCCGCCTCAGTGGCCACAAAATGAACGGTCCCCCGGCGACCGTACCGCAGCCTGTCACCGTCGTCACCTCCCCACGGTGGACCCCGCGCGGATAACGAACGTGTTTACACTTCCAGTCGTCCTAATTAGCCGCCGGCCGGCACTACGCTCACTAAATCAGGACGGCGCGCCATAAAACACTCACACCCGTTTAGCCGCGCCGGTATTGTCACAGCGTGACGCACCAGACCGAGTCGAGCTCCTCAGTCGCCCCGACACCCGCTGAGCGCTGCGCTGCGCGCGAGCATTGTACCCAATCAGGGGTGCTGCCGTGTGGAAAACGAGCCCCTGGCGCGGGCGCGGCGCCGTCGCGCCTTTTTCTGCTGGCGGCGCGCCGTTTTTGTCGAGCCCAGGATGGTGTCGGCGGAAGTGCTAAACGGGACGCGGCGAGCAGTGTCGCTAACACTGCGCGATGATGAGGGTGTGAATGGGATGGCCATGGGACGGCGAAGACGGACCGAGCATGAAAACTGAGATAGGTAGAAACACTGCTTGTTACAGTCGGACTTCACAGCTGGAGCAGGTTTGTGATAGATAACAAACTAAAAAATCGTCGACTGGATGCCCGGCATGGCTTCATTTGAACACCGCGTCACACGGGCAAGATGCGGCTGACTCTAATCTTCTCCAGGCTCTGCTCATCTCTCCATTTTGTGTCGCCCTGCACTCCGTGACCGGATCATGGCCCAGATTCCCGGCACAGCGTGGAGGAATGGTAATGCGGCGCGCCTATGCAGACCATATGGTCCGGTACATTCCAGACTAGAGGCTCAGGGACCGAAGCAGACCGGCGCCGCTCCGTATTCGACCCACGTCACGCTTCGGATTGGGGCCGACGTAGTGGGCTGGGCTGGGACAGAGAAGTGGTGGGACAGTGGGACGGTGGGACGGTGGGGCAGCGGGGTGGTGGGGTAGCTGGACGGCGGATAAAGATGTGGGAGAGACTATGCTGGTCAGCGGCTGAAGCTGGAAATCAGGAGGTGGGCGGCGCTGATAGACGCTGAGATAAGGGCTTTGTGAGGGATAAAGAGGTGCAGAAAGGCTGGCGTCAGCGTGCTGCTGACTCCGCAGATTCACTTCCATCAAATCCGCGTGGCTCGCCGCTACTGTCGCCCCGGCCATCCCCGGCGACCGGACAGGTCAGTCGCCGCGACAAAAACCTCGTCTCCGCGCTGCGTGCTGTCCCGCGGCTGGTCGGGCGACCGCTCGGTCATCGATGTCACTGAACCCATAGCTATGGACGGTCCAACGTTACCACCTCAGAGAGACTCATCTCCGCTCAAATATAGAACGCCAGCGTATCCACGCTGGGGGCAGACTGTTCCATTTCCATATGGCGAGTTCGGGTCACGGCTGGGCCGGGGGGTGCTCGTCTGACCCGTCTCCGTCTGCCGCCGGGGTTGTTCTTCTGACCCGTCTCCTCCCGCCGCCGCGCTGGTTCGCGCGATAAACACATCAGTCGGCGGCCGGATGCGGGCGCGCGCGCGCGCCGTACCGCCCCTGGGTCCGGCGGCGGCGCCGGCGGGCTGCCGGCTAATGCCAATCCATCTCGGCGCGTCGGCGGTCGGCGCGCGGCCACTTACCCGCCATCATCCCGTCAGCGCGCAGTTCCAACTCAATCCATTATTGATTCGGAGCCCCACAAAGCCGGCCAGAGGCTAATGACGGCCCCGTAATGGGCTGACGGTATTGTAAATTGGCCGTAATTGAGAGCATTTCGACCGGACGAGCGGGGCGGGCCAGTCGAGGCCAGGACGGGGGCGGCGGCCGCACAGCCGCTCCCACAGCAGACCGCTGACTCGGCCGGATGGGACGCACACAACAAAGCTCGCCGACGCCCCGGGGCAGCCCCCGGAGAATCTCCGAGCGGAACGCCTCGGGTCAGAGGTGCGGACCATCTCTCCCAACCACATTTCGACAACCAATCCTGCACCGGCTAGGCGTCAGGCAGTGAGCAGTGAGCTCACCGTCTCGTTTCCCATTACCCGGCGACCGCATCCTTCGAGCTGTCACCTACGGAGCTCGTCTCCGGTCGAACAAAAACTTACTGTGCCCGGCGGATCCAGCTGGGAAACGCTGAGCGGCATCGTCACGCAATGTGTCGAGACGGGCACGCAGGCCGTCCCCGACCGGTCCCGGGGTGCCTGGGGCGCGCCCGTCGGCCACCTCAGATCACCGCCAGTCCGACCGGGCCGCGGCGCAGCCAAGGACGTGCGTGGACTGCGATGGTGCTCTGTAATCGGCCCGCATATCAGTATGATGTATGAAGCAGCGCGCACGCCCGTTAGACGATAACAGCAAATAGTGCACCGTAAAAATGAAATTACACGTCACGTAAGGCCGGCTACGGTAATGGAGAAATGCGTGTCGTCACCTCGTAACTACAAGGTGGAGTGACAGATTGATTTGCCCCTGAAGTTACGGTCATTAGGCTTCATGGAACTGAATACTGAATACCTAGCATATCTTATGACGAATGGCATTTGATTGACGTTAGGCCGAATGAACTGCTGATGCTTAGTACCTTTCCATTAAAAAATGGCCTCGGTGTGGTATGGTGTTGTATCTGTTCGGTTAATGCTGGCCTGATAAGCTGCGTGAGTTACCTTCTACCTTTAACTGGAAGACTGATTGTGATAGTTATTTAAGCTTATAAATCACTGAGCAATGCTGCATGTAAAGTAGTTCGTGTAAAGTGCTGCGTGCTGTATGGTTCGGGCGAGTGCTGCCCGTCGCAGCTATTTCAACAGCAACGATAAATGCAATTATTTGAATAGCGATCATAAGGGAGAGAATACAAAAAAAAAATTGTAAGAGAAAGGTGAAGAAATTGAAGAAATAACTTTTCAGCAAAAATTTTGTCTATGTTACTTTTTATCTACAGAAGTTCATCTTTTCATTCTTGTATTGTCTTTATCGTACCATAGTCGTTCAATTTAATCTTGCTTTGAACGATGTTACTATTTTTAATGAACACACACTCTCTCTCTCTCTCTTTCTCTCTCTCTCTCCCTCTCTCTCTCTCTCTCTCTCTCTCCCTCTGTCTTCACCTTTACCATACGCTCATAGAATTACGCCTGATGTACGAAGACGGGCTAAGTGGCCGGCATGACCCTGTGCTGGGGCCGTATTCCCGTGTGGATCACACTCCTGAGCCGGGGGTCCGTCTCGGTGATAGGAGCCACCCCTCCCCCCCCCCCCCGGCGTGACATCCTGGGTCGTCAGCGCGCGGCCGGCGCGGAGGTGCGAACAGACACGGCGGCCGCACCACTCAGCCGACCTCTGCCGGCGCCTAAAACACCAGGCACACAGCAGAACGAGTCATAAAATTGCACTCGTGAATAAATGACAGCACGCTGATGCGAGCGAATAATGTATGGTCATTTACAACGCAGTTGGGCACTCATAAAATAAAGTGCACCATATATGCGCGGCGGATAGTGAATTCAATTACTCACGATGTTTCCGTAT